AGGGGGTTTCCCTCCCTCGCCGTGCCCGTCCCGTTGGCTCTGGGGGGTCACTCCAGCGGTGGTGTCGCGTCGGGGCCGGGATCGAGCGGCTCCAGGGCTGTTCCAGTGTAGGGATGTGCCGGGGGCTGAAGCCAGGCCAGAGTTAACAGGGATAAGCTGTGATCTTTCTTTCTGTCTCTTTTTTTTACCCCCTTTCCCTCCTCACCGCTTCAGTTGGATGCTGATATAAACCCTCCACACTCGTTAGGCTGTTTTAACTGTTGACTTGAACCTTTTATTCTTTGTGACGACGTGTTGATGATTTATTGTGCTACGAGCCCCGTGCTAAGTTTCCTTTTCTCTTTCCTTCCTTCCCACCCCGTAGGAGAGTAGGGACATTAACCGCTGCTGCCGTGCTGGCTTCTTACTGACATATCCAGCCATTGTAACTTCCTTGTTGTTGTTTGGGGTTTCTTTCAATATTTCGAACCGATGGAGCGAGTTCATGGATTAAGCCATGTCTGGAACGAAAGGCACAGGGATGTGTTAAAGGCGAACTTGCTGTGAGAGCTCAGGTGGAGCCTGTGTTGACCTCAAGGAGATGCTCAGAGACCCTCCCCCGGGGGGTGCCCGGGGCCTCCTGCGTGTCAGCGAGGGAAAGGTGGTTTATTTATTAACTGGCACGGCCAGAGCCCTGGGATTCATCCCGGTTTTCCAGGGCCGAGGGCTGCGGGGAGGCAGGAGGCTGCCGTGGCCGGTTGACGCAGGCCGGGAGTCCGAGGCTGAAGCAGGTCCTGGGTGTGAGGGATGTGTGTGTGTGTGTGTGTGTGTGGTTTCAGCGAGGCTGATGGATGGGGACCGTCGGGATGAGCAGGAAAGGGCAGTGCCCGTCCCGGGATGGGCAGCGAGCCGGGAGCCCTGGGCTGGGCAGCGGGGCAGGGTTAGTGCCAGGGAGTTGCAGCTCTGACTAGGAAGGAGATTTTTCCCACTCTTGGAGCTCCTCGTTTCGTGTTGCAAATGACACTAAAGAAATGAAATGTAAATAAATTAAAACAGGAAAGAAAAAAAAAAAAGTGTTCTTGGGTGGTCAAACTAATTTAAAGAGAAAAAAAAAAACAAAGAAAAGCGGAATAGCAAAACACTGGGATCAAAGAGAACTGAACCAGGCTGTGCTAAGGGGGGGCTGCTCCAGGAGGGGACAGAGGGAAGCCTGCAGCTTCTCATGCTTGTGGGAGTATTTCTTTGGGAAGCCGACAATGACACGATAACCCGGAATCTGTATTTACACACAAAGATTCTTATTGCACTTGTATTTTTTATATTAAAGTTTGCATGATTTCTAATAAAATGGCATTAAAATGTACTAGTTTGCATCAAAGTCGTCTGGTAGTTTCATAAGTGCTTTTTGCTCTGAATACAAATTGAAACAATGCAGATTTGCACCTGAAAGGGGCGGTTATATATACCCTGGAGCCCTCCCAGTGCTTCCTTCCCTTCCTCTTCCTCCACTTCCTCCTCTTCCTTCTCCTCTTCCTCCTCCTCCTCCTCCTCCTCTTCCTCCTCCTCCTCCTCCTCTCCACCTCTCCGCTCCCTCTGTGCCACATCCCTTTGATCCCAAACAGGGAAC